ATCAATTAAATAACCCTAGCAAACCAGAAGGCAAGCCATTCATGAGGTTTACTACAATTATTCAATTGGCAAGTTGATGATTCAGTGATGATGAAATTCTGGTTTATGCATTGAATCAAAAGCATTGGTTATGGCGACACTTAACCCATTTATAACCAATCTTCCGACTGTTACATAAAGCCCAACCACGTACATCACTGTATTATACATGAAGTATATAAGTAATAGAATTAGTATGGTATATAACATTAAGTACCACTCGATATTCATAACCATTGGCATATTATAAATGTAACCATCTATCAATAACGGAGGTATATAACATCAAAACATAAATTAGAACATCGCCATTTCCATAACTTAAACAATATCGTACAAATTTTCACCCTTCACCGAAGGGTATAAACGGACTACTCACTCCCCATTGCTATAGACAAGCAAGAGGTGCGATATAGTTCCGTTACAACAAAAAAAATACAAAACAATCATTCCTCGAGGAATAGCTGAAACATTACTACTCTTATTACTGGTTAGGGCACAAAAGTGGGAGGGGTTCAACCCTCCAAGTAAAAAGTAATCGACAAAAATGTAGAAATAGAGATTCTTTTGGTTGGAAAGTGGTTTGATAGGGCTTCGCTTTACTATTTCTCTCTCTCACCCTCTAAACTATCTCTAAGTCTCTCTAAACTTCCCTCCTTGACCACTCTTGGTGACCTCTGAAAATGAAGCTGTGTTGGTTATTTATAGAAGCTGGGAAGGGGTTTGAGGCAACAGAACTCAATTGACCAATCAGGGACTTTTGTAACATCAGTTGACCAATGGGGAGGAAAGAGGAAGTTGAGGTGGTTTAGCCACCGTTTGGACGCCATCACCACCATCCAGACGGTGTTGATTCTCTGGTTCTTGCCTTGTATGCTTGGTGTTGTAATGTAATAATTACACTTGCCTCCCCTTACTGATTTGGCTTGTACACTTCCATCCTCCTAACTTTGCGTAATTCCTCACAAAACCCTGCAAAATGTCAAGTTTCATGCATTAACCCTAATTTACACATTAACCCTAATTTCACATAACTTGGTTGTTTTAACCTAATTCATTAGTACATTTAACCTTAAAACTTAGTTCAACATTGCATTATTTAGGGTAAATCACACCCCATCACCAAAACATTACTACTCCCTAGTAATAAAAATAAATAATAGAATAAAATTACTTTTGTAGATTTCAAGATTGCATTTAGTATATGCAACAAACCATTAAACCCCTAGGTGATCCCTAGTGGCTAGTTTTGTCTCGTGAAGGTTTCTAGTGAAGATACCTACAAACTTCAATGGTTATGACATAATAATTCATATTTTTTCATAGATAAAATTATATCACCATTCCTCTTATTTGCCAGTATACCTCCTTTCCCTGATCACTGTAAGAGTAACACATATTAGTTGTAACATTATTCTATATATTTTCAAAAAAACTCGTGTGTGTGCAAGGTTTCCTTTATTTCAAAAATCACTTAAGAAATATCACCACCATTCACTTCGCTGTACAAGAATTAGCCTTGATGTTAATCCTTTTTTGAAAATCACTCAACAAAGAATACACTCATGTTATAGTGACTATCTCTCAAAATTTACATGTGATAAGAATATTGTTAACAAAGCAAAGTAATATCACATGTAGTGTATCAAAAGAACAGTTATTTGAATAAAACTGAAATTTGGCATAAACTCATGAAAGAATATTAACACTGCATCAAATATATTATCAACATTTTTCCTTTTTGAATAGGCGGAAACAATACACATGCTTGACTTCTGGAATCAAAAAGGACTTTATTGGGGTTATAATGTGGCCATGGGTATTGGGGTTATGAAATGACGTCACGAGTATTCAAAGGTTATCCTTTCTTAGTGCGGCACACCTCTTCCTTATTTCCAAAATTTTCACATGGTATTTTCCATTCTTTTATTTTCATTCTCATTTTTCACTTTCTTGGATATTTTCTCATTATTTTCCATTCCTCGCCAGGGAGGCCCCCCCAGCGCGTAGGCACCTTGCATGCTCTTCTTCCTCACGTACCTGCTCCACCCCCACACGCTGCTAAGCATCCTGGCCAGGAGGATGAGGGGGAGAACTAGTATGCAGATCATGAGAGCTACTATAATGATCCAACAGAGGGTGTCTCTAACCAATGGGACAAGAAGATTAAGGAGTTACAAAACCAGCTTGGCATTGCTCTCAACACCATCAAGACACAAGCACCAAAGACAGTAAATTACCTAGTAAGGCGTACTGACACTCCGTTTGTGGCGGATGTAGTCAACTATCCCTTGGATGTGTCAAAATTCAAGATGCCTACCATTGAGATCTTTGATGGTACTAAGGACCCCATGGATCACCTTGTTCTTCCTTTCCTAACCTTCTGTGGGATTGGAGAAATTAAAGGAGACCAAGTCACCACCAAAGAATACTATGTGGCCTCTATGAGGGCCAAGAGGCCCTCTAAGTGAAAGTGTTCGACCCTAGGGATGAAAGCACACTGGAAACAGGGAAGCCTTCGTCCATCCATGGGATGCCGAACACATGAAGAGGTATTATCAATAGCAGGGTACAAGCTAGTGGCTCTCATTTTGGATGCCTTGCACTTAACACCTTGAAGGTAGTGCCTTCCACCTATCACCTTCTTCTCTATTTCCCAACCTTATGTGGGATTGGAGAAATTAGAGGAGACCAATTTGCCGCCAGAGAATACTATGTGGCTTCTATGAGGGCCAAGAGACTACAAGAGGCCCTCTAAGTGAAAGTATTCAATCCTAGGGATGACTACACACTGAAAGCAGGGAAGACTTTGCCCATCCATAGGACGCCAAACACTTGAAGAGGTATTATCAATAGCAGAGTACACATTAATGACTCTCATTTTATTTGTCATTTATTGTTTCAGTTGATTTATTTTGTTATCTATTATTTTATGAAATAAAACTTTGCAAAGATTATTATGTCCAGAATTATCTTACTTTCAATTCATAAAGACTGTAGACAACTTACAAATGTCAGAACATGACCTAACAACAAGGTAGACAAAAAGATAAAAGTCGTCATACTCCGGATGATCACTTACTGCTCCTTGATCCGCTCTCATCAAGGCTCTCCCTGTCACCATCTATCCCTGGGGCCTCATATGGGACGAAGCCAGAGAAATCAATAGTAGGAAAAGCTGCTTAGGCTTTTCCCCTAAACTCTTCATAATAATCAATAAAAATGTCTACAACAGTTCTCTCAGCAGTCTTCCTCCTCATCTCCATCTCAATGGAATGAGACTCTGCTATGGTGGCTCTCTCACGAGCTACTCGTACGTCAGCCTCTACCTTGGAAGCCCTCTCTTGAGGTATATGTAGCTCAGACTCAACTTCTGCAACCCTCTCGTGGGACGCTCGTAGTTCTGATTCTACTCTCCCGTAAGCAACCTATGTCTCCAGCTTAGCGCTTATCTCATGAGTCACCAAAAGTTTGGCCTTACTCTACCTTTGGTCTCATGCAAGCAACCTATGTATCTAGCTTTGTGCCTTTCTCATAAGTCACCAAAATTTCAGCCTCATTCTACCTCTGCTCTTACGTAAGCAGCCTATGTGTTCTCAACTTAGCATCTCTCTTATGAGTTGCCAAAAATTCAACCTCACTTTGCCTCTACTCTCACACAAGTAGCCTATATCTCTAGCTTAGTGTCTCTCTCACGAGTTGCCAAATGCTCTCGACACCTTATTGAGTTTGAGGGTCTTCAAAAACATGAAAAAGCTGTAACCATTTGTGAATATCCAAAAGCAAGAATGTCAGTATGACCAAAACATACAGAAGACAAGGCTCCACGTAACCAAAAGCATACCATGGAAAATCCCTTAATCGTGGTATTTATAATACTCTCAGTACCCCGAGAGTTGATCTCTCTAATCTCTGAGGATGTTACAAACCTCTAAAGCTGCTCCCTGGACAAATTCACGTCCTGCAACATAGACACCAAGCCACTACTAAAAGCAAGGCAGCTATGTGGAGCTATAGTCCCCATAGAAGACATCATTGGAGTCTCAACTCTACATCGATACTAGGGCTAACTTTGGTACACACAGGAGTCGCAATCTAGGAAGGAGTAGGGGCACCATCGGATCCCACCTCTTGAGAAGCAACCTGGCCATCAGACCTTGACTGAAAAGAGTTAGGGGAATCAGGCCCCGCCCTCTTAGGAGGAGGGTAAGACTCCACCCTAAAAGTGTAGAGAGTCCACCATCGCACTATTAATAGTGGCACCTGTGAAATTGGGATAAGGAAAAAAACCTACAGTATCGCAATTATCAAAGCTTTTTGGAAGGATCAAATATCATTCCTCTTTTGCCTGAGAGGCTTTGAGATAACCTGCCACATCATGACAAATATTTTTTCACTAATTTGTGTTTTAAACTCAAATTCAGTAAAAAGTAAGCATTTTTTTTGAAAGATTTGGTGCCCAAATCGCCTTCAACCATGTGACACTTGTAGATCTCAAAAAAATACCCAGATTCAAAAAAATATTCACCTCAAATGGACAACCGAGTGCAAAATTATGGCCATTCAAAGCTTTGTCATTTTTTAATCATTTTGTAATAATCCAACTAACACCAACACACTAGCGCCCAGCGGCCCAGGTGCTGCCAAGTGTCCTAGGCTTCACTCATCTCTCCTCTAGTGTCGCCTAACAAACTGGCTGGCATCACCCAGTAGCCTGTTGGCGCTGTCTAGCCTGGTGGAGTCACCCAGCTCCCTCCCACCAATGCTTGGAATTTTGCTTCTACTAGCGCAGCTGTCTGTATCACCTAGGTCTGGACGTCGCCCACCTGTGCCTTTAGCATCGCCACTTGGGCCCATTGCAGTTTCAACATCGCCTTTGTTGCTGCTGGTGTCACTAATCATAGCATCATCGCCTAGCTACCCTCCTATGCTGCCTAGCCAACTGGTGCGCCCAACATTGCCTACCCCCAGCTTGCTAGCGTCGCCTTTTTTCTGGCATGGACATCAAATCCATCTCTTGTGGTGCCGTCATGGAAACCTGTCTCGCGCACAACTGGCGTCACCCCAGGCCTCATCATGGCGTTGTTTGACCTTGCCATAGTGTCACCTAGGGCTTCGCTAGGCTTTGTCAAAGCAGCAACAACCCTGGATTTTGCCACGACGGTGTCGCCGAGAGTTTCATTCACCTTTATCAACTCCTCTCCCATGGTTTACCTTCCTTGTGAGTTGTTCTCTCTACAATCTATAAGGGTTAGAAGAAATGGAGTATCAAGCTTGATCCAAGAAGAAGGGGAATAAGGAAAATATGGGAGAATGAATAGTCTTTGGGTATTGCATATATACTATCTGATAGAGTGAGCCCTAAATGAAAGAGGGATCTTCAGCTAATGGGAAACATTTCTCTATTTTACAAATCACTTTTGAAATACTTGACCTCTCATTCCCTGAGGAGAAGACTTTGGAATACTATTCCAAGCAAAACACGACACTTTAAACCTTTCTAAGCTTGGGGAGCATTTTGGCATACTCACATACGTTTTTGCTCATTCAGAAAAAATTTCCTTCCATCTTTCACGAGCTCGAGTTAGAGTGACACCCACCCGTCATTATAAGCCATACACATAATTGGGTTCACATGGGATGCAAGGGAAAACAAATCAAGCATTTTTGGCGCTATTGCCGAGGAAGGCTAAGTGTCAAGTTTTGAATGTGATTTAGGACAACGGAGGTAAGTTTTGTGATTTTCATCAAGGGCCGGGGTACAGTGCTCCTTTGTATATAATTGTGCATAGTTTTTGATTGTGGTTAGTGCATTTGCATATGGGGACGTGACAACCAAAATGGACTAGTTAGACATGACCAAGGACCAAACATGAATATAAATCAAGATCCTCCCGAAGATGCAGGAGACAATTTTGGGGATGATGGTGCTAACAATCCAAGGGGTGGGGGAGTAAAAAACCCCCGAGTACAAAACCCCCAATTACAAAATATCCGAATGCCATTCCCCCTCGAAGAAATGAAGGAAATAATATCCCTATTGATCCCCTAGCGAGATCAATGAGAGATTATCTCCAACCTACATGAAGCACCACCCCATCATGCATACTTTTACCTATGCAAGCACATGGTTTCCTTGTAAAATCGGGTTTTTTTGCAACTTCTTCCTCAATTCCATGGCGTGGAATGAGAAAATCCTTACCTACATATTAAGGAGTTTAAGGAAATAGTTGAAACCTTCATTTCAAATAATGAAATAGAAGACATGGTACGTATGAAGTTATTCCCCTTTTCTCGGAAGGACAAAACAAAAACTTGGTTGAACTCCTTGAAACCATGCTCGATAAGTGCGTGGGCTCAAATGTTATTTGAATTTTTAAACAAGTTCTTTCCAGTGCCCAAGACCACTGCTTTGAAAAAATAAATTCAAAACTTTTCTGAAAAATCAAATGAGCAGTTTTACTAGTGTTGAGAAAGATACAAAGAATGAAAATACCATGTATGTGAAGTTTGAAATAGGGAAGAGGTGTGCCACATTAATCAAGAGATGATAGCTTTTGAATACCTTTGATGTCGTTTCTTAAACCCTAAACCCATGGCCACATTATAACCCTAATAAAGTCCTTTTTGATTCTTGAAGTCATGCATGTGTATTATTTCCATCTATTCATGAGAAAGGGGAAGTGTTGATAATGTGTTTGATGTTGTGTTAATATTCCTTCATGAGATTATGCCAAATTTCAGTTTTATTCAAATAATCATTCTTTTGATATATTGCATGTGAAATTATTTGTTTTGATTAACAATATTCTTATCACATGTAATTTTTGAGTGATAGTCATTATAACGAGAGTGTGTTCTTCGCTGAGTGATTTCCAGGAAATGGTTGACATCGAGGCTAATTCTTGTACAACAAAGTGAAAGGTGGTGGTATTTTCTAATTGATTTTTGAAATAAAGAAATCATTGCACACAGACAAGTTTTTCTAAAAATATATGGATAGTGTTACAACTAATACATGTTACTCTTATAGTGATCAGGGAAAGGAGGTATTCTGGCAAATCCAAGGAATGGTGATTTAATTTTATCTGTAAAATATATGAGTTATTGTATTCTGATTATTGAAGTTTGTAGGTAGCTTCACTGAAAACCTTCACGAGACAAAACTTGTCCACTAGGGATCACCTAAGGGTTTAACGGCTTGTTGCATATGCTAAATGCAATCATGAAATCTACGAAAGTAATTTTATTTTGCTATTTATTTTTATTACTAGGGACTAATAATGTTTAGGTTAGGGGGCGTGATTAACCCTAATTAGTGTGTTAATAACTTAGGTTATGTGGTCAATTGTGTTAATGAAGTGAGTTAAAATACTCAAAGTAAGTGAAATTAGGGTTAACATGTGAAACTTGTTATTTTTCAGGGTTTCTTGAAAAAATTATGCAAAGTCAAGGGGATCAAAGTGTGCAAGCTTAAATCAATAGGGGAGGCAAGTGCAATTACTACAAAAATTCATCAACCAAACCAAGATGGAATCTAGAGGATTGCCACCATATGGACGGTGGTGGTTACGTCCAGATGGTAGGCAAACTGCCTCACCTCCCTTCTTCTTTCCCATTGGTCAGTTGCTGCAACAAAAGGCCCTGATTGGCCCATCCAAGCTAAACTGCCTCAAGCACCTCCCCCAGCCTCTATAAATAGGCCAACTCAGATTCATTTTTAGTGTTCTCAGCCAGAGAGGGTGGAGGGAAGTCAGGAGAGTCAAAGTTACGCTAGATGGTCAGAGAGAGTTAGTGAGGTGAGAGAGAGAGAAACAATACAACGAACCCCTACAGAACCACTTCCAGCCAGCTTTTCTTACTTCTACATTTATGTTATTCCTTTTTACTTTGAGGGTTGAACCTTTCCCACTTTTGTGCCCTAACCGGTAATAAGGGTGGTAGTGTTTCAACTATTCTTCGGGGAATGATCGTATGTATTTTGTTTTGTATTGCAATGGAACTATTTTGCACCTCTTGCTCATCTATAGAAATGGGGCATGAGTAGTCCGTTTTACCATTCGGTGAAGGGTGAACATATGTACTTTATTATTTGAGTTATGGAAATGTCGATGTTTTAACTATGCTTTAATGTTATATATACCACCCATATTGATGGATGGTTACATTTGTAATATGATCATGGTTATGAACACCGAGCAGTACCTAATGCTATATACCATACAATCTACTAATTATGTACTTCATGCATGATACAGTGATGTACGTGATTGGGCTTTATGTAATAGTCAATAGATTGGTTATAGACGGGTTAAGTCTTGACATAGCCAATGCTTTTGATTCAATGCATAAATTGGAATCTCGTCATCAGTGAATAATCAACCAGCCGGTTGAATAACTGTAGTGTTCATCCTGAATGGCTTGCCTTCTGGTTCACTTGGGTTGTCTAACTGATGCATTGTACAAAGATGCCGATTGAGTAATTCAAGTATTTCTCCCAAATGGTTTGCCTTCTAGTTTACTCAGATTAGTTGATTGTTGCATGGAAATATGCATGCCGGCTAACCTAATCAGTTGCTAGATATGGCTTAATATACATCATACCTACCGGTTGACTTTTCAGTAAAATGGAGGTTAATTGTTGTAGAAGGTGGCATTCTCAATAACTGAAACAATATAATGCATGTGGAATCGCCCAACTGGAGGGTATCTTTTAATTATTGCATTTTCATAGTTTTAATTAATTTTGTTTTAATTATTCTAAGCTCACACCACAAGCTATTTTATTACATTTTGTGTCTTTAACAACTTCACCAATTCTATTTTAATTTCCAATATTTAACTCCCTGTGGGTTCCACCTCGGACTTAAACTGAGTATTATATTGCAATTTGACCACCTGCACTTGGGTGTATGATACTATTGTGGTGCCAGTAATTGAGATCAGAGTCAAGTTTCTGGTGCCATTGCCGGGGAGTTATGGTGATTTCAAATCGAATAGGAGAGTTATTGAGTTTGTATTTTATGTATATTTATTTTCTCTTGCATTTTCATTGTTTATGTCTGTTAATTTATCAATAGGGTCCGTAAATCAATCTAATCATTCATCTCCATCATCTTCATCTTTCTCACAAGCATCATTTGAATTAAGCATGACTCATAATAATCAATGAGAACAAGAGGTAGGGACATAATCATAATAATCAATGAGAGCATGACTCATAATCATCCTGCACACACTAGTGTCTCGTCATGTTTTGTTTTTCCAACAAATGCTCCAAATTTTAACATTAAGGTAGGGACAATACAGTTGTTACCACAGTTTCATGGTCTAGAGTTTGAAAACTCATATTTGCATGTTAAAGAATTTGAAGAAGTATGTGGTGCCTTACAAGATAATTTTGAAATGGCCTGATTGAAAAATTTTCCTTTCTCTTTGAATAACAAAGTTAAACAGTGGATAAATTCTTTAAAAGTCTAGTCTATTTCGAGTTGGCAGTTTTGCAAATTGAATTTTTTTAAAAAAAATTTATTGTGCATCGCACTAATGCATTGAGACGTCAAATCATGAATTTTTCTATAAAAGAAGTGAAATTTTTTTATCAATGCTGGGAGAGATTTCAAGATCTTCTCCAAGCCTTTCCGCATCATGCATTTGAGAGATGGACTCTTGTAGGTGTTTTCTATGACGCCCTCCCGAGGGAGAATTTATGAGTAAAATCCCCGAGGGAGGCGTTTGAGTTTTTTGATACCATTTCTGAGAGTTCCAAAATGTGAGACTCAGCCTCTCCAAACATTGTTGATACCAAGCCATCCACATCCCAAGAAGGGAAGTATCTATTAAAAGATGATGACCTAAGGGCCAGAATGACTACCTTGTCCCAAAAGCTTGAAGCTTTAGAAATAAAAAAAATGAAGGAAGTGTCTGTAGTGTCTACCACTAAGTAATCATGTGAAAACTATGCATTGTTAGGACATCCCACGGGGGAATGTCCAACTATTCTTGCATTCAAAGAGGTCTTGATGGAATAGTTCATTGCCATTTTGAACTTTAATAAGCATCCTTATTTTGAAACCTATAACCCAGGGTGGCGGAATCACTGGAATTTTAGTTAGAAAAACATAGTCTGTGAGTCAACCACAAGGTCCACCTTCAGGTTAGCCCCAAAATCAACTGTCATATCAGC